TAAATTCAGTTTTTTTACAGATCTTTGTAGTTAATGTAAAATGAATGACTATAATGAAAGATATAAAACAAGGTGAAAGCTGAAAGGTATGTCATGAAGCCTTTATTAGATTGAGTTTGTAAATCCCAGAAATGAGTGGAAAATGCAAATCAACCCCAATTAAAACCAATAATTTGATATAAATCATGATATTTTTCTAGGGGGGGTAAAAAAAAATTCGGCGCGCTTCGCGCGCCAAATTAAAAATATTTACCCCCCTCCACAGAATCCTTATATCCGCCCCTGAACTTAAGTCTAGTTTCTTACAAATTTCTAATTCTAAATTTATCGTTAACAATAACATTTATCAAATTGGGAACATTTTTTGCCTCGAAATCTCAGGGGGGGGCGAATGTCCCTACGCCCCCCCCCCTGTATCTATGTATCTAACCACTGTATCTCTATTCAACCCTTTATCTCTAAGTATCTACCATGTCAATCTCCATCTCTAAACACCCCTGTATCTCTAAGTATCTAGCTGCATCTCTTAACAACCATGCATTTCTAACTAACCCCTGTATCTCTACCCAGCTGCATATCTCTTTTATTTTGTATAAGTTTGATCTTTTAAATTATAAATCATTTAATTTTAAAATAATTAGCTCAAAAGATTGAATTTAAAAGAGAATTGTTCAGACTGAGAATTAGATTCAAGATTGAGAATAGATTTAGTTTCTGGTTGTTTTGATTGTTAAGATAGATAAATTGTAAGATTGTAGTTTAGAAAGATAGATAGATAGACTGCTGTGATTGCTTTAGCTTGTATAGGTACCTATCCATGTAGGTACCGGTGTAGGTCGTGTAAGGCGATGAACCAGGTAGAAATCTGGTTGAGGGACAAGCAACGGAGCGCCGCAGGGCAGAAACCCATGAGATCCAAGCTAGAACGGGCGGTGGCGGACTGGTACAATCTTCCGGGCCCAATCTTAACGTCCCGGGCCATGTAAATCCAGCTAGAACAGGGGGGTAGTATCCGTGTCGGTACGGTAAAGGTGTGTGCAGGCACGGTACCGGTTGTAAAGAGACGCTCTACTAACTCGTCAGTAAGGGTTTAAACCCAGGGTGCGAAGTGCTAAATAAATCTGTAAAGTTGGTGCCAAAGTTACAAAACAAATAAAAAAGAGTTATTGTTGTGACAAAAGTTGAAAGAATCCGTGGAATTCTACAGAAAAGATTGTTCAACAATTCTGTTTAGAATACAAACGTGACACATATATTGAAAAGTTTTTCCAAGTAAATTCTCAGAAACTCAAGTTCAGAGTTTAAAACAACGGAAGTGGGAAGACAAAGGTAAAAGATATATTCNTCCCCATTCTTATTCTTCACAGTTTTTGCTTTTAATATTTCCGTTCAAATTCTTATTGACGTGTTGATTGAGTGACACTGACAACCCTTTTAGCTTTTATGCAAATCAATTTGTTTATAAAAATATTAAAACTAATTTTTTTGTATAACATAGGCCGGAGGGGGAGGGATATTGTAAAATTAAAAGTGTTATTTGAACCATAAATCTTAAAAATCCTTTATACCGTATGAAATTTCATTTGCATGCGATTTTTTCCAAAATTCTAAACTTTTTGGCTTTAACCGTGATCCAAAAAAATATGAGATATGAACACAAATTAAAACCTGATTTTCTCTAAGTACGTTGACTATTCACAAAATTATGCAAAAAAATCTGACTTAAGATAATAAAAGAGACGATTTTACCAAATAGCTTGAAAATCGTTGTTCACGGAAACAATTGTAAATGTATTAAAAGCAATTTTGAAATAGAAAAAATTTTCAGATACTTTTTGAGCCTTCCAAAAGTAGAAAACCATGAATATTTTTTCACAGGCCTCAAAACGATGTCCATCTCGAGCCAGATTGTCTAATGAATGTATTACGCGCCTCAAACTCAAATTTAAAAAAAAAATTTGTTCAAGCTGGTGTCGTAGTCCTATATGTATCGCGTTAAATTTAAGTATATTGCATAAAAGATTGAAATCTTGAGTTTTTAATCATAACTCGTAATGTTTTGAATTTTTAAGTTGAAACTACTAACTGGATATTCTCATACTCATAAAATTAAAATTAAAGGAGCCATCAATCTTTTGACATTTTTATTTTTTATATTAGAGTTAACTACAGTTTTGAAAAACTCAAGCTTTGGCTTAAAAATTTGTAAATATTATTTAATATTCCGTAAATGTGTTCAAAGGAACATTTCATTACTGTATAATTTGCACAATTTCCTAGTTCACTTTGATATAGAAACATAATTGCATTAGATTAGTTTACCCCGTCTCCTTAATTACCTATTCAACATCTAAGGAACTACAATACCCTTGAATACATTTAATCATCGTAAAATGTAGATTTAAGGATTTTCTTGAAGAAGATTGAATTTAGATATATCCTCCCGTCTCCCCCTTTAAACCCTTTAGGAGGATTGTAATCTGAAACCACCATCAATAAAAAACGAATTTGTTTTCGAATATTCTAAACCCTTCAAAAGTACCAAGCTTATCTTCTTCTTCCAAGATCCTAAGCTCTTCTGCTTCCAAGATCTTGAGTTCTTCTTCTACCAAGATCCTAAGCTCTTCTTCTTCCAAGATCCTAAGCTCTTCTTCTTCCAAGATCCTAAGCTCTTCTGCTTCCAAGAGCTTGAGTTCTTCTTCTTCCAAGGTCCTAAGTTCTTCTTCCAAGATCCTAAGTTCTTCTTCTTCCAAGATCCTAAGCTCTCTTCTTCCAAGATCCTAAGTTCTTCTTCTTCTAAGATCCTAAGTTCTTCTTCTTCCAAGAGCTTAAGTTTTTTCTTTTTCCTAGATCCTAAGTTCTTCTTCCAAGATCCTAAGCTCTTCTTCTTCCTAGATCCTAAGTTCTTCTTCCAAGATCCCAAGTTCTTCTTCTTCCAAGATCCTAAGCTCTTCTTCTTCCTAGATCCGTAGGTTTTCTTCTTCCCAAGATCCTAAGCTCTTCTTCTTCCAAGATCCTAAGTTCTTCTTCTTCCAAGATCCTAAGTTCTTTTTCCTCCAAGATTCTAAGTTCTTCTTCTTCCAAGATCCTAAGTTCTTTCCAAGATTCTAAGTTCTTCTTTTTCCAAGATCCTAAGCTCTTCTTCTTCTAAGATCCTAAGTTCTTCTTCTTCCAAGATCCTAAGTTCTTCTTCTTCCAAGATTCTAAGTTCTTCTTTTTCCAAGATCCTAAGCTCTTCTTCTTCCAAGATCCTAAGTTCTTCTTCCAAGATCCTAAGTTCTTCTTCTAAGATCCTAAGTTCTTCTTCTTCTAAGATCCTTAGTTCTTCTTCTTCCAAAATCTAAGTTTTTCTTCCAAGATCTTTAGTTCTTCCGAAATCAAAAAAAATAAAACCGCTTTTTCTTATTTGTTAAGGGTAGGGGGGATGTATAAGAAAATCGGAAGATCTCGAAATGTCAGTTTTTATATTTGTATTTGTGCAGTTGCTAAAAGAAATATATTTGAGGGAAGGATGGTTGATGAAATTTTCGTAAATTGGGATAAATTGTAGATTGTCTCCCAGCAGCTGATAAACTTGGATAAACTTTTTCTTTTCTCTTTTTCCCTGGGTTTGATCAATATTTTTGATTAATTTCAGGCCTAAGGTGATGATTTTAGTGCGTTAATTTGATGTATTATGAGTTAAAGCCATAGGCAGGTTTGATGACTAAAGGTGGCCTTAAGGCCGTGGGTGAAAAGGGGCCTAATTTCATCATGCATATAAAAGCTTACTCATGAAGGTTCAAAGAAGAACTTGGCCTTGTTTTTAGATTCTTTGATGTGAATAGGTGAAACTTTTGTTAAAACCAACAAACATTTGGTTTTGATTTTTTCTCAGTTAAGGAAAATTTAATTCTTTTTGTTTTACAGGTTTACAATCGATTTTATACTCTGTTATACTGTTTGTCGAAACTGTTTTTACCGGTTTTTCGGGGNCATATTTGTATTACAAGTATAATTGATGTAGAAGGATGGAGGATGAAGTGCAGTTTATACTCTAGATGAAAACTTCTAGAAGATGCATCAATTGTTTAAACTTTAAATATATTTTCAAAACTGACAAACAACCCTCTAGGCTTTACAAAGCTAGTTTAAAATTGAGTTTTAAAACTACCTTATGTGTATAGGGATTGAAAGAAAAAGTTACCGAATCAAAGTATTGATTTTTGGCTATAAAAGAAAAAAGCTGTTGAGTCCTATATTTTGTCTTGGAGGACTTTGGATCATTCAATAGCCCTTAAAAAACATTTATGTAATTTGATTGAAACATGACTGAAAATGTCTCTTTTATCATAGGAAAACTTTATGTTTAGGTTTAGTTCACCAACAATTTTGACCATTTTACCTAAATTTCGGATTCGAATCCAAGGACTTTTAGAAAATGCGGATCGGTCTTTAAGTTTAAGCTCTGTATTTATGTCAAGTAAAATCTTGACTAAAATAAATTCAGGTTTAACTTTTTACCCAGAAAGTATTTATGTACGACATTTTTATTACCAAGGTTATAATGCAAGGAAAGTTAATTGCAGTTGCGGATACATTGCGTACATATTGAAACCAGTATTCTCTGGGCGGAATTTGTAAACAAGAATAGATGCATCAGTGTTTGATTAGTATCCGTGGAGGATAAAAGCCTTTAATTTTTATAATTTTGATAATTTACATAATAGTTTCCTTTGACCAGAATATTTCATTGATTTTTGGGGGGGAGTGGTATTAAGAATTGTTTACCCCTGACTGTAATATTGTAAGGGACAAAGAAAAGATATTTATTTATTCTAATTAACAAATTGTTCATTTTTGTTTCATTGTATATAAAGAAAAATTAACCGTTACATTAATATTCTAACAAAATCAATGTTTTGACTCAATTGTAGAATTTATGTTGAAATCTGAATTCAAGGGAATTCGAAATTCCCCCTTTTTTGTTCGTCTCGGAATTTAAATAATTTCAAGAATTCGCGGGGTTTTCCATCCCACCAGTTGATTCGCAGTCTGAAAAATGAATAAATTTGAATAAAATATAGTTGTCCATTCCTAATCTAAATTTGATCTATTTAATGTTAATTATCGTGCATGTTGGAATACAAAATGGTTCATAGCGCTTAGATCATGGTTTTAATGTCACATCCTACTTTTTTAATCCTTGTCCCTGTTTTCCCAGGCCCCCCCCCCTTTAAACTTTGGTCGATCTAATATGCTAGATTATCTCT